CACTAACTTGTACTTAGGGCGTTCCTGCAACTTATTGCACACTCCTTATCCCTGAGACGGAGCGGGCGTGGCACTTGAGCATGACGAGGAGTTGGTTACTCTTGGGATATTTTTTTGAAACAACTGTCATCTCGTCCTGTGTACAGCAAAAACACGGCCACGACTGCGTCAAACCGTAAGTATCACTCCGAGGCCAAGCCACACTCACATTTGGTTGAAGTACGCAACCAGCCTACCACATCTAAGGAACTTTGATCAAAGATATAGATGGGCGGCATAGCATTTAGTAAGCCGCTACAATTCTGAATGGAAGTAGAATGTATGCCGTTTCCTAACAGCGGGTTGATAAACGACATAGAATTCATCCTTTTCATTCTCTGCTCCAATCGGAATGCCGTAGAAGAGGCCATCGTTGGTCAGCGATCAGTACCCAAAAGCACGTGAAGAAAATAACATTGCGATACAGTGAAGAAAGAACCTTTTTTTCAAATGGACCAAAATACCTCGAGAATCCTCGAGAGTACGTCAAAAAGTGTTGATAGCAAGACTGAGGGCACACTATTGGAAATGTCTTGGAGCACCTGTCAGATTTCCGGGAATAAAGTGAATACGTAAACCAAAACCTTCGTAAAAATCAAAAACTTTCGAAAAACAAGTAGTTGTTGCAGAAAATACTGGAGTATGTCAGATGCATTGAAATATGTGGGCATGATAAGCCTTCCTAATGCTGGCGGTTGAGTGAGCACTTTCTTGGGTGAAGGCGCTATTCAGTGCCCTACGAAGGAACGCGACATTCCTCCCGCTAATCGTACTTACCCTACACGTTGTTGATTTGTCATGCCCATCACCACTAAAGGAGGCGGAGGTGGTGTAGTGACAAGTGGCGCGCTTACCACTCGCGCGGCGCCGGGTTCGAATCCCGGGTCGACACCCGCCCAGGCCAACCAAGCCTTCTACCCTCCGGGGACGGTAAATTGGTACCAGATTCGTCTGGGAGGATAAAACACTGACTTGTACATCGGCTGGCCACCGCAAGTCATTGTATAGGCCACATCGCATTCAATAAGCCACTACGATTCTGAATGGAAGTAGAATGCGTGCCGCATCCCACAAAGGGATTGATATCCTTCTTCATCACCGCTAAAGACAAACTGGATACTCACCTCCGTGGATACTGGTCTTTTCTATGGGCAAGATGAGTGAGACTTGCAGTAGCATGTCACTTTCTCCGGTCAAGGTGCACGGGAACGATAGAAAATATTGGTATCCTGGTGCTGTATCCATACTCCGTTCGCGCGGCTGTGGCCTGCTACGCGCCTAACTATAGTCGAGCGCCTTCCTGTCTGCGTCCTCCCACTTCTGATTGTTCTCTATCGCACAGTGCGTGTTTAGCTGTGCGATCTTGATCTGCAAGTGCTCCAGCTTGGGGATAGTGTGCACGGGTATGGAAACGGAACCTGAGCAGCACTGCCTTCTAGACCCCTCCCGTGCACTTTTGACCAGAGGGTGTAGAACGTTACTGCAGCTTCGGACCGGAGGTGAGTGTACAGTTTGTCCTTAATCAATCCATGGAGTCCTTTGTCAGGCTGTCAAGGAAAGGGAGCGTGTTCTCAGTCACGGGTTCGTCTGCAGTATGATGCCTAAGGCCGTAGCGGTGTTATATTGTCCCCAAGCGATAGCATGCTCGTATATTAGTCATTCGAAGTTAAAAACGACTTGTAACTCGCTTTGGAAAAACAACTCTTCTTAGAGTACCATCATTAAGAAGCACTTTGCCCAGCTCTGCTGGTGTAATAAACTTAACTACAATAGCGCTATCTCACAAGTGCAAGACAGCACTTTCATGCTGAAACTGCAACCTTTTGCGACAGGTCCTCCAGAAACTGATGAGTATGTGGAGTGTACGAATGTCAACCTTACAGGTTCGAGGAAGACCACCGTGACAAGAAGTGCCGTCCAATTACAGCGAGATTGGTTTCAATTTTTTTGTAGGGAGTTTTTTGTTAAACTATAGGGGCCCAGAACTAGTTGAGGGAAATAGCAAGACGATAATCAGAAAAAGGAGCATAATCACGGCTCGGCAGACCTACATTACTACGGGAACGAGTTGCACGATTATACTTAACAGCCATTCAACGGGAATGATTAGGCTAGAAGGGGACGAACGTTGTCTTCCTGCTTTACGATGGACGGAGAAGGGTTGCGGGGAGGATGCTTTGCTGGGCAAGCTTATATTTCTGACTCAAGAGCTACACCGGCTCCAAGCAGGGTCGACTGAGCCTTACCGCTCTCAAGATCAACTGCTTAGTGCTTGATTCACCCAGAAGTTCTAAACCAAATGCTTCTTCATGAGGTATTCCCAAAAGTCATTGTCTAAGCTATATGGCACTAAACAGCTATTGCTATTCGGTAATTAAAGAAGCATGCGTTTCAAATACCTTGGAAAAGGCTGACCAGCGCCAAGAGCCTTTCCCTTCAGTCCTATTTCCGTTGTTTCCGCTTTATCCCTTCAGAGAATCTAGTAGCTCAGTGGTCCCATGACCCCTATTCTTTGACACGTTGACTACGAGCCACATTCTTCGTGACTTGCCTATAGGACGGCACATTTTTCTTCATTGCAATTGAGTAATTTTCAAATAAATGAATGACACTGATCCAAAAGTGTCAAGAGATGCCTGAGACGAGTAACGAATCCTAAATTTTTGACACAATTTACCTTTTACTGTCTTCCAAAATCAGGCCAGTTTTCCGAAATTTTCTATGAAGACCGATTTGGCATAGTTGGTCCCCGTGCGTAGTTGGACCTCCCAGACATGACTTTCGCATTTGCCTGGCACGAAACTGCCTGGCACCCGCTCGCTGGGTCATTGTGGCATATACAAGCCGGGCGCTGATGGTTTCGCCATGAGCAGGCGAATTACTCATTTCGAGGCTCAAACTACGCCTAGGTTGGAAAGCTTTCCACGCATTTGCGGCTGACTTAAAGGTTTTTGGCGCGGGGCCTTGTGACGCAGATCGCCAGGCAGTTTTCGTGGCAAGCCAATGTGATAATTCATGATGGGAGAGGGGGACGAGCTACCCCTGGACACAAGCTTTCAGCTTAATCCGAATGACCGTAGTAGAGGTGTTTGCGCCAACGCCTGGGCGCCCGGCGCCAGGTACGTGGTCTGGTCCCAGCGGTTGATATATTCGCTTACCGACAGGGCCCAAGCTACCTCTAAGCGATACCTGAATCGCGCGTGAGCATAGAGACGATCTCTTCTTCAAGAATTATTTTCCGTGGTGCTCGTCCTCACCAAGTTCATTTTAGGCAGAAAATAAGGGTCTGGCATCCAGAAAGGGATGCCTTGAGGCGTCGAAATTTTTATCCATTGATCACATTCCAATCAGGCTACTCAATCCGAGGTCAGAGTCACTTTCTTATAATTTCTTTTTTCACAATCCTTAATCACATTCCAGTGAAACCAGTTCGTAACCTTAGGGTGTATAATTGAGGCCATCCTTCTTTCGTCGTCTGTGAAACCTATCCACATAGGTCCGCGTCACGAAAACGAAACCGCGCTGCCCCCAATTGCTAACGCCCCTGGGTGACTTTGACGACTTGCGAAATCGGGTTCGGGTTACGACAACGATGATGAATATCACCAGTGGTGCTAGATTCCGCACCGTCTCACTATTGTGACCAACATAATACGCAAAAGCGTTTCGAAGACATTTCAAAAAGTGGCAAGTGGCTATTGAAACAATCAAGCTAAAGAAGGTTTCCCCATGTTTCACAATAACAGGCACATTTTCAATAGACT